TTGGAACAGGCTGCCCAGAGAGGTGGTGGAGTCACCATCCCTGGAAGTGTTCAAGAAATGTGTAGACGTGGCACTTTGGGACATGGTTTAGTAGGCATAGTGGTGTTGGGTTGATGGTTGGACTGATGATCTTAGAGATCCTTTCCAACCTTAATGATTCCTAGTTTTTACTTTCATTAAAAAATAATCCAGCCACCAAGCCCGGGAACATGAAATTAATTACTACCCTACCCTTAATTGGTTTATGGGTGGACTTGGTAGTATTAGGTTAATGGTTGGACTTGATGATCTTAAAGGTCTTTTCCAACCTAAATGATTTTATGATTCTATTAATACCTTTCTTGAAGAAGTAGCATGTATTTTAAAAATACAAAAACAAATTAAATAAATACACGATATTAAGCGTATGTTTATTATTAAGTACAGTTCTCTGTGTCATCATTAGGGAAGAAAAAGAAGGAGAAAAATATAATTTTTTTAGCTGTTGGACATATTTATGACTTTGTAATCAGGAATTGTATAATTATGTAATTTAATTTTGCTTTTGCTTAACAAAATATATACTAGGTGTAATTATGTTGATATTGATGGAGTTCTAGAGATATAAAATTAGTCATAAATGAGGTGACAGTACAACCAAGTTAAAGTTCTACAGATGAAACAGATAATCAAGCTTCTGGCTTCAGAAGTTCACTGGTACGTGATCTCTGCAATAAAATGCTGAAACTCTTAAAACAGTTTGTTGAAAAAAAAAAAGAGAGTTAAAAAAATCCATTCTTTTTAGCTATACCTTCCTAGATTATGTTAAATCAGAACTAATGTACAGGAGTAGTTTTCTAAGTCTTTAACACTTAAATAAATTTAAATTCAAATTTTATTTGAATTTTTAGATTTTCAGAATTACCTGAGAACTCAGACTGGTAACAACACAACTGTTAATATTATCATTTCCACTGTGGATTACTTATTAAGAGTTCAGGTAGGTTAACTTATATACTAATTAAGTAGATGACAATAATGACTTGCATCTATACAAATACAATGTTTAGCATTTTTAAAACATTTGTTTCATTTATTTTGATCATAAGGCAGAAGTTTGTATGTGGAGACTCCGAATTTCTTAATTTTTCTGGAATTTCCTTCAGCAATACATGGTTTGCTGCCACAAAAGTTCTGTTTACAGCAAAATCAAACTTCATCCTTATCACAAAACGTTCAGTTTTATTAGAGGAGCACATTTATTTGTCATGACATTTATATTTATTCTTGTCACAGTAGCCCATATTGATGACAGAGGCTATAATTCTCTACCAGTTACAGTCCTTTAAGAGTTATTTTGTACTGTGAGAGTTAAAGGTGACAGAAGTGTGAAATACTGATTTCAGCCATTATATGCAAGAATGCAGTGGAGTCTGTTAACCACAGAGCACGCAGAAGCTAGAGACATGCTAAGTGTATCAGTGAATACCATTAGCCAGTTGTTGACTGAGCCTACTCTGTGACTGAAAAGTGTTTTGTATTGTTCAAGTTAAGCTTCAGCCAGCTGCTTTTTCATCCATGTTCTGATTTAGTCTGAACACTAGGCTGCTGTATGGATAGTCATGGGATGACATAAAGTGAAGCATAAGAACAGTGCATCATTTTCTAAGAAGGGAGGAAAAAAAGGCAAAAAGAAGAAACAAAAGCAGAAGGCTAGATTAAAAACCCTTCAACCCTCTAATTTGAATTATCTCCCTAATCTTTAAATATGAAAACATTACATTGTCACAACCCAGTAGAAAGTAATGAAAAAAAGTCTGATTTGTTTCCACATTGGAGCACGTGAAAGACATGAAAATATATTTTGTGATAAATGTTAATCACACTAACCTATTGTTCTTATCTTTCTGAAAATCACTGTGCATGATAATATATTTTGTTGTGGTTTTTTAATTTATCTAGTTAAGTTTTCCCTTTAGCCATTTATTTGTTGGGTCTGAGAATTCCAGGCTTTCAAAATTGGTGGGTTTTAAGTTGCTGCTGTTATCAGCATTGCTTTTTATCCTTATGAATTCTGTAGAATTTGAAGGGACATTACAATGATTTTCATTCCCTCCTTACTTTGTTGAAACTTAATAAGCTCACCTTTGGGGAAGACGGAAAGAGGGATCATGCACACAAAGCAACATTTGCTCCCACTATTGACTAGGTGTCAAGCACACAGTATAAAGAGAGATTGTTTGATGAACAGCATGTGGCATGGTAGTAATACTGAGAACTCCTTTTCAGAATGCAGGCGGTTGTACTTCTAAGAGCAGATACCAACAGATCTATTTTTTTATTATTATTTTGAGGTTTGCTGTGGGCTTTTTTAATTATTTGTTTCAGTTTATTTGTTTTCCTATTGATTCCATTGAGATGAAACTACAATTCTTGAAGTAATACTTGAGAATCGTTGGGGGGTCATTTAAAACCTTTATAAACAAAATACTTTTCAGAACTAGAATGCTATCTAATGTTATTTTTCTTATCTTGACGAATAACTGGTTAGAGACAGTTTGATTACATCATCTTTGTGTTTCTCACAACTGTTTTTTAGGAATCCATTAGTGATTTCTATTGGTATTACTCTGGGAAGGATGTTATTGATGAGCAAGGACAACGAAATTTTTCCAAAGCTATCCAGGTTGCAAAACAAGTTTTCAATACTCTTACAGAGTATATCCAGGTAAATTAGTTTCATTGGAATTTTCTGAATTTGAAAGAAACTGAATCATACTTTTGGTGTGAAGATGTAATATAGCTAGATATAACATAGATGGAAATATAATATAGATGCATTTATGCTTCAACATTATATTAGTGCATTTATTTAAATAGGAAGTGAAGTTTTGAAATACATATACAGCTGTCACTACTCTTTTGGAATCTTACCAATTTAGTCAAATTTATAGTTAGTAAGTAATTGTCCTTTGGTTGTGTGCAAGATAGTAGAGGTGTTTTGGTTTGTTTTGTTTTAATTTGGCCTAGACTGCAGCAACATTATCCACTTTCATGTCTTCACTTTTAATCCATTGAGAAGCTAAGGTCAATGCAAAACATAGTTGCTATTTAGTCAACAGAATACTAGATTGTATTTTCTGTCAGGATTAAGGCTGTTTAAGGCATCAGTGCTGTGTTTGAAATACTGAAGTCAGTAGAGAATTCTAGAGATGTACTTGAGGTGGACTCTGCAATAAATGAGATTGGGATCAATTCTGTCAAAATAACAATATAGCAGTTCTTCCATGATATGTTAGGAATCCAGTGGAATTTAGTTAATCGATTCCTCATGTAAATCAGTCAACAATATTGCAGGTTGTTTCTGCACATAATAAGCAGGTTAGAGAGAATCTCACTAGACTGTTAGGTGTCTCTTATATTGTGTTCATTGAAATGAAAATCATTATTACGAAAGTAGTATTTTATAGTTCATGAGGATGAGATGTGATGGAGTAGGACTGAATAAATATGAGTAGAGGCAGCTAATATACATGTGCATACATGTATTTAGTGTATACATATTTGGTAAATCACAAGTAGCATTGTTAGCTGGTAAAGATTTTATTTGTTTTCCTTTGAGGCTTCAAAAGATTTTGTATTCCTGCTTTTCAGAATTTGGAATTTTTGGAAGAATATTCTTTAGCACTGTGTTCTACAACAGCTAGAATATGCTGGGAAAAAGTAGTTAGGAGTCTGATTCTCTAATCCCTTATGCCAATTTTGCACTAACCTTCTATAAAGTTATTCCTGATTTAAAGAATTACATAGGGAAGAATCAGCTTGAAGATTTGTACCCCTTTAGCATTTGCAGTTTAAAGTTGCAAGCAGATACACTTTTAGTGGTTCTGAATTAGTAAATTGGGACTTGGCTAAAACAGACAGAATGGTTATTAGGAATAGGCATTGCTTACAGTCAGTGGTGTTATTAAATAGATAATTCTATATATGTTTAATTTTTCATAGCAGTTTCTAAAGGACAGCCCCAAGCTGTGCACTGCCTGTATATCGTCCTTCCTGGTTTTGTTGAGTTTCTTGCAAATAAACTCTGCTTTTCTTTCTCTTTTTGTGGTTTGAACAATAGGGGCCATGTACTGGGAATCAGCAAAGTCTGGCACACAGCAGGCTATGGGATGCTGTAGTTGGTTTTCTTCATGTGTTTGCCCACATGCAGATGAAGCTGTCTCAGGTATCTTTTTGTTTTACTTTTCCTTTTTAAGTTACTAACTTTTTGGTAAAAGATAAACAGACTTGTTAATATGTTCACATCATTAATAACAACAGTTACTAGGGGAAATATGAGGAAAAATAAGAGGCAGAGATGATAGAATACAGTAGAATTGAGGGAGTAAATTACAAAATTGTGGTGGGTGTGAGTAGCAGGCTTGTAATTGCATTACTGGCCACAGGCACAAAGCTCATTAGATCAAGCTGCAAATGAAGCAAATCACCAATATTCAGAAAGAACTAATCAGTTCCTGTCTTTCATACCAAAGTTCTGTCACAGTGTTTTCTGCAATTTTGCACGAGCCTTTTATGCAGGACCCGTCTTCATTGATGAGTCCTGCACCGAACCCTAGTTCATCATTACTGAACCCCAGTTCAACACATCTAAGCCTTTTCTACTCTTAGTAGAGAAAGAGAGTAATCAGACCTTAGAATGGGTGAATTGCTTTTGGATGTGAGTACTCATAAACTATAGAAATAGTGTAGGGGACTGGCATAGACAGCTCTTTAGAGTGTTAAAATTAGGTGAGAAGAATCCTATCCTTAAGCAGTGCATTTTTCAACTTCTTACTTTTTTAAAAGAATTACACATCTTAATTGAATGTAGTAATTCTAAATTTTTCACATAATTTGATGCTCTCAGAGAAGAGTGTCATAAGCTTGCAAAGGTTTTAGTTGTTGTTAAGGAATACAGCTCTGAAGGCTCTGAGGTTTTTAGATTTTACTATTTGGCTCCAAATGTATCCATGTAAGTATTCTTTGCAAAAATTAAAGCAGTATTGTTCAAATGATTTTCCTCTGTGCCCTTGGGACTTTATGGCTGAAAGTAGGCTGATTGCTTAGATTTGTAGACTTTGTGCTACAGGTGTGCTTCTCATTCTTTATGGCTAAGTAGAGGTCGCCTTCCAGCAAATGGCATCACAATGAAACCTGTTTTTCAAGAGTGATGCATTGAATTTCTACTGAAGTGTATTTATCAATGCCTGTAGATACTGTCCTGGTTTTGGAACCTCTTTGTTATTTTAGGAATTGAAAAAATAGTCAATGTTTGGGTAGAACCACACTGGTGGCTGTTGTGCTTTCTTCCTGTACCACTAAAGCAACGTGGAAAGCAGTATCTAAGTAGTTACTGACAGTGAGTGAAACACATGGTAGCTATGTGTTGATTGAGAAATATGATGTGGCAATTGGCAAGATTTGTTTTTACAGTAATGACAAGTTTATAGTCTCAGCTGTGCCTGGAGTTGCTTCATAGCATCTTTTAATTACTGCATCTAGACAATAATGGTACTCATCCTGCCACTTCAGAAAGAGCCAAGAAGCTTTGCACGGCGAGATCCATTGTAGTGTGTGGAATTACTCATGCTGTTCTGTGGGATGACAGAAACACAGTCTACTCCAGATGTATGATAAATAGTGATGGTGTCTTTCTCTTGTGTGGAGCTCAAGCTCTTGGGTTTTGGGAGCTCCTTTAGGGGGCCAGCAGAGCCTTGGGAAAGACCAGAATAGACGTGGGCTCTTTCACTCATTTATATTTATTGCAAGAATGTGTTAATAAGCTTTTCAGATCCTATTGAAATACCTGTTTTCAAAGGTGTAGAAAGTGGCTAAATGGATTTATAAGGAGTTGCCATATGGCTTTTCTCTGTAAGAGGGGCCGGCCTAGGCTAAGTATTTGTTTTTTGTTTTAAATCAGGAGTTTCCAGAGCACTTTTGGAGACTATTTCAAACAAGATTTAAATATGAACAAAACTAAATCACTGTTTTGTTTGGTTGGGGGGGGGGGGGGGTTTTTTTGGTTTTTTTTCATTTTCCTTCTCTAGTCTTGTACTAGGAAGCAACAAGGTGATATTGGTAATACTTCTTAAGAAATCTCTGTAAGGCAGAAAATGAAAGTAAAATTTTCAATCTAAATGAACAAAGATCAGCCAGATTGCAAGCAACTTTTGAAGTAAGAAGACTTATAATGAAAACTTACAAGACGAATCAATTAGAAATCTTTATTGTTTCCAACTTGTGCTGTTTTCAATCCAAGATCCAAGTTGCCATAAAGTACCTTGAGTTTGTTGTACTAACCGCTGAAGTCCAGCAATACTTGGGTATGCCTTATCAACAGCATGGTGCAACAATGTATCACTAAGGAAGAAATCAATCTATCCAGATAGACTCCCAGTTGAAATCATTGGCAAGTGAAATAGTAAACTCGATAAGTCTAATGAGATAAAAGATGGCTAAAAGAATCAATATCATGTCTATTTAAAGGTATACTAATAGAACTTTTAAAAAATGTTATTTCTACTTTTCTTTCTCCCCCCAAATATTTCAGTGGCCTATAATGGAATCACTCACTTTGAATCGTGTTACACTTTGAGCTCTGTGTGCTACTGCCATTGTTGTTTTTACAAGTCTTCATAGGTGCAAACTTGATTACACCAACAGTGACAATATTTTAGCTGACATGAGGCACTACAGAGGCATCATCTTTGAGCTTGACATGCCCAGTTCCTGCTTTAAATTTTTTCATCACCTTCAGTTTTCACTTTTGTCTTTATTAAATTACTGTCTTCTAAACAGATGATTGTGTAAATGTTTGATCCTGTAAAGGTACTGTAAGGAATCAAGCAATTAAATGTTATTTTCACTGTATTACCAGCTTTGACACTACTAGCTTCTTAATTTCTAAGTCTCCTTCTTACAGGGTGAAATATGCATGCACATACATATATAAATGTCAAGTAAGTCAATAGATATCTTATTATATATATTGTGTTCATTATTTAGGATTCCAGTCAAATTGAATTACTGAAGGAATTAATGGATCTTCAGAAGGATATGGTTGTCATGTTGCTGTCTATGCTGGAAGGTAGTCAAAATTTAATTTGAAATCCTCTTTCACAGTTGTTCTAGCAAAGTTTTTACCTTTGTGATTTTCTTCATGTGAGTAATAATGCTCCATTTTCCTTTGGTTTTTAATTTTCATGTCTCAATTGTGAAAAGAGGTGTTAGGTCTTAAAGTGAATGGGACATTTATATAGTGTAGTTGATATAGTTTATATTAATTCTGAATGTCAGAACTGTATAAAATCCAGCTCTGGCAGAGGTTTTACTTTGTTTCCATGAACATGGCTTCTCTTTTGGCTTAGGTGAAAAGTTTTTTCACTATTGAAGTTGGAATCCTGAATTCTAGGAACTGGGCCATTTATCAGTCATTATTAACTTGTTTACTATATTGCTTTTATTTTGGTAGTGATCTTAGCCATAAAGAAACGGCTTCAATTTGTCTGGTGATTAGGTTCAAGATCCTTTATAGCTAGTACCTGAAATTATGATTCCCCAGAGAATGTGACCATTGTCAAGAAATACTGCTATTTCTTTAGCTCCTTTATGGTATTGTATGAGTGCTTCCAATACAGGAGTAACCAGACATACACATAGATGATCCAAAGATCTGTTTTTCCTTTTTGCTTCCTACATGTATCCTGTCACATTTGTTTTCTTGAGAGAACTGGGGAGGGCAGTAAATGCTGCACAGATTGCAGTGTAGCATACGTTGCTACTGCTTTGCTTATAGAAGGTCGCTGAGAAGCAAAGTAAATTCTTAGTATTGTAGGCTGTGCTTCATGAGTAACTCACTGAGCTACTCATCCTAACTGATGTGACACTAGTTCTGTCTATGTTGCACTATAGTAAAATTCATAGTATGCTGCTTCATGTTTAGTACTATATTAAATGTAACAGATGTCTCTCTGTAGGGCTTGTTAGTTCTTCCTTTCTTTAATGGCAAATACTTAGTTACTTATGTTTTTTCCAAGTCTTAGAGTAGTGTTATTAGTAAAAGAATTCTGATTGTACAGCTAGCTTTCTCATGTGAGTGTGTTAGCCAATAGTCTATCATTCTTACTGTTTGATTATTTCACTAGTCATTATTATACACTTTGCTTTGCCTAAACATTTGCTGCCATCAGTATCTCTAACTTCATGTCATCACATCTAGGTAATGTTGTGAATGGAACTATTGGCAAGCAGATGGTCGATATGCTTGTGGAATCGTCCAACAATGTGGAGATGATTCTGAAGTTTTTTGATATGTTCTTAAAATTGAAGGATTTGACTTCCTCTGATGCATTCAAAGAATATGACCCTGATGGTAAAGGGATAATTTCAAAGAGGGATTTTCACAAGGCAATGGAAAGCCATAAGCATTACACTCAGTCTGAAACTGAGTTTCTGCTGTCATGTGCTGAAACAGATGAGAATGAGACTCTGGACTATGAGGAGTTTGTGAAACGATTCCATGAACCTGCCAAAGACATTGGTTTCAATGTTGCTGTTCTCCTGACCAACCTGTCAGAACACATGCCCCATGACACCCGCTTGCAAACTTTTCTTGAACTGTCAGAGAGTGTGCTGAATTACTTTCAGCCTTTCCTTGGACGCATAGAAATCATGGGCAGTGCAAAACGCATTGAACGAGTTTATTTTGAAATAAGTGAGTCAAGTCGGACGCAGTGGGAGAAACCTCAGGTAAAAGAGTCAAAGAGACAATTTATATTTGATGTTGTAAATGAAGGAGGGGAGAAAGAAAAGATGGAGCTTTTTGTTAATTTCTGTGAGGATACCATCTTTGAAATGCAACTGGCTGCTCAGATCTCTGAGTCAGACCTGAATGAAAGGTCAGCAAATAAAGAGGAGAATGAGAAAGATAAGCCTGAGGAACAGGATCCTAGAATGGGTTTCTTCTCTCTTGTGACCATGAAGTCAGCATTAGTAGCTCTCAAGTATAATTTAATGACTCTCATGAAAATGCTCAGCATGAAGAGCCTAAAGAAACAGATGAAAAAAGTGAAGAAAATGACCATGAAGGACATGGTCATGGCTTTGTTTTCTTCCTATTGGAGCATTTTGATGGGCTTACTACATTTTGCTTGTAGTGTTGTCCGGGGCTTCTTTCGTATCATATGCAGTTTGCTGCTTGGGGGAAGCCTAGTAGAAGGAGCAAAGAAAATCAAAGTGGCTGAACTATTAGCTAATATGCCAGATCCCACTCAGGATGAGGTGCGTGGGGAAGGAGAAGAGGGGGAGAGGAAGCCAACAGAAGCTGCATTGCCTACAGAAGACTTGACAGATCTGAGAACTTTATCAGATGAGAGTGATCTACTCTCAGATATATTTGGTTTGGATTTGAAACGAGAAGGTGGACAGTATAAATTGATCCCTCACAATCCAAATGCTGGTTTGAGTGATTTACTGAGCACTCCATCCTTAGCTCCAATGCCTGAGGTGCAGGAAAAAATCCAGGTAACTATCTTTTATTTCTGCTATATCTTTCTCTTATTCATATGTTAAGTATAGTCTTGAAACAAAACTTGCATCTTTGTTTTTCTGGGTTTTGTGACACGTTTTTTAAAGAATCATATGTAATTACTGGTTTACCCTATCTGACATCATAAACTTGAATTCCCACAGCCTTCTTTAAGTACATGGTGTTTTGGTCTACTTTTATTTTTAATTCAGTGTTAAATTGTCTCTTCATGAATGTAAATTGAAGGATGAACTTCTCTCAGGGTTTCAATTGTTTTTTAAAAAAAAAAAAAGCCTAACATTCTGCACTCTGTGTGTCCTTTCAATGAACTCTGTACTGTATAACAGTGTTTAGACACTTTTTTTAATCTGACTTTCTGTAGGAGCAGGTGAAAGAAGATGAAAAGGAAGAGAAGGAGGAAACAAAATCTGAACCTGAAAAAGCAGAGTATGTACTACTTTGACCTCTGATCCTACAAAATGTGGTTTGTTTCACTGAAAAAACAGCTTGAGTTGTACTTACTACTTTGCCTTTAATTTTGTGTCCATTCATGTTCCACAATTAGGATATTTTTTAACCATCCTCCACATGCATGCACATTTGCAAGGAAATGCCATGTAAATATCATCACTCGGAGATTTTATTGATTTCCCTCTTCCAGCAGCATCCTTTGTAATGTCGATTTAGTTTCTTTTTGAATGTGTTTGATTGATTAAGTTTTTCTCAGCAAGTCTGAAAGCTAGAAGAAAATCTCTTGGAAAAATTGTAAGGGCACCTGGGTTCCAGAGACTTATTATCCATCAGTGGTAGAGACTGAATCTGTTTTGCCCCTCCCATTTGCTATCACCTGTTTTGAGTTATTTGGATTTTGCAAAACCTTAATATTCCAATATAATTTTAATGAATTACTGAGTACTCTTTTACATCTTTATGAAGAACAAGTGTTAGCATTTCATAAATGATCATTTTAATCTTTTTTAGGATATGTTAAAATCTAATGTTAATGAGATTAGCTCAGAATAAAAATAGTGGAAAGCAAAACATAGTGCTTGGTTTTAACCGGTAAAAAGTATGGCACTCCATCCCTGTGTTTTATGGTTACTGATACATGTACAATTCTGATACGTGTACAGTTTCTGTAGCTGATATGTCACTGTCAAAATTCTAAGTAGGTCCCTTAGTTTCAAGCTCTATCCTTATTTCTCTCCTGGGATGACAAACACTTGCCAGTAACAAAAACTCTTCTTCCTAATCAGTACAGCAAATTTCTAACTCAGCCAGTATAACTTAGTGAAGGAGAGTCTTGCTGACTTTTGAAGGTCACCTCGGTGTTGATTGGTCCACTTGACTGTGTGAGTTGCAGTGATACCTGTATTCTCTGTGAGGAGTGCAGTGCCTGGCACTATTAGCTGCCCTGAAGCCACTGCTAACATAAGACAAGCTTTCAAGTGAACTTTCAAGTGAAAGTTTGTTGAGTGTATTCCAGTAAGAGAAGCAGCTTAGGACATCAGTTATTCTGTTTGTAGATAGGTACAGAGAAATTAATAATGTCACTTATAAGTTGCCTCTCACTCTGGTTTGGCTTCAAATGGACTTCTGTGATCCTTTCATCTATCATGCTGTCAAGTCAAATTAACTTCTAAGATAATTCACAGTTCCTTAGATCACGTGTTTGGAGAAGGCAACCCACTAACTATGACTTTCTGCAATCGGGCGGCATGGTGGTAATCACGCATCAAATGCCGTCAAGCTCTCTTATTCCTGTCTCCTGCTGGAGTGGGTACTTATGAATTCCTCAGGTGGGCAGAAATGCAGAATGTGGAACTTGAGGTTTGGCTTGTAAATGCAAGAACCACCAAAGTTTTCTGCAGCCTTTGTGGGAACCAGATAGTTAAAGTGCATGAGGTTGGAGGGGAGCACTTAGACATATAGGCACTCATACAGACATAGAGCTGTCAGCTGACAGACATTTGTGAGTGCAGGTATTAGCTGCATGGTTATGAAGCAGACCCTCAGGTAATAAGGTTGTCAGATTCTTGATTACCTGCCTCTACCAGTTAGCAACCTCACTTCAAGGTGCCAAACCAGTAAGTTTAATTATCTGTAGGCTTAACCAGACTGTCCCCCTTGCCAGCACTTTGGGCTGAAGAGGGATATGTCTCCTTATTATTCATGTGTGTGAACTGCATGAGTCATGACTACTTGAGCCACATGAAAAGATGCAATGGCCTCTTTCAGGGTGTGGTTTTAATTTTTTGTTTATCAATTTTATTAACCTGATGTATGATTTTGGCTTCATTTGTGTCCTAAGAGGAGAGGATGGAGAAAAAGAAGAGAAAGCCAAGGAAGACAAAGGGAAACAGAAATTAAGACAACTTCATACTCACAGATATGGAGAACCAGAAGTTCAGGAATCAGCTTTCTGGAAGAAAATCATTGCCTACCAACAGAAGCTTCTTGTAAGCTGTTCTCTAGACTATGTGTTTAGCTGTTGGCAGGGTTGCGTACCACCATATTATTCTACCAATGTAAAGACAAATTTGCATCTGATGAACTTCACTTTTCTATCCACCATTATCCGTAAAAAGGACATAAAAGCAAAAGTTTAACTGGAATGTTAGAGAAAAGAAACACACAAATAACAGTAGACAAGATATTAAGTCTTAGGAAGACAATTGTTGTCCAGAAGCCAGACCTTCAGAGATGCCTGTCCATAACTGGAAAACAGCCATGCATCTTTATGTGAATAAGATGTCCCGAATTTTCACAGCAGCCTGTGAGCCTGTAGGATTTGTCTTTCCCTGAGAGAGAACTTTGGGAAATTACAAGCTCTCCTATAAAAATAATTTATTAAGATACAATATTTAGCCTAGAACTCCTAAGAAAAGATGTTACAGATCTTCCTGTGAAATAGCAAGTTATTATTTGAGAAACTTCTCAAAACCTGTGGAAAAAAAGACTAATTAAAATAGTATAACTGTATCTGAGAGTGTCTCAGTAAAATATGATATCCCTGAGTTTGCTGTAGAACTATTTAAAATCCATGCTCTTATTAGGTAGGAGATTCCACACACATTCTGTGAAGCTAGCATGAAATGGAAAGCAAAAAGAAATACACTTTTGCTGTATATCTAGTAGATACAATTGTGTAGGGACAGCCTACTTCTAAAATGAGTAACAGAGCAAAACTACAAAACTGTAGTCACAATCTTAATAAGGAATTTAGGTGTTTAAGTTTTGCTTTTGAACTAAGATTCATTTTTTAGGCTAATGTTGTAAGTCATGTGAATATAATTTAATTTTTCTTCTAATAGTCTAATTTACTAATTCACTAATAGTCATCTACGGTTAGGGCTGAAAAATGGAGGAATTCCCATGTGAGAGTTAAACATTCAAAATGTGTGCTAGAAAGGTTTGTGAACTGTCAGGAAGGGAAAAGGTACATTTCTGCAATCCTGTTGATAGCATCATAATGTGAGAGAAGCTTGCTACTCATGGTACTTAGGTCACAGATGAAGTTTTTGCTGATTGGTAAAAACGCAATTGATTTTGGAATAGAAAAAGATTTAAAATAAACTTATATGCAGGCATCTTTGTTTCTTGCTAAAAGTAACAATTTGCCATATGCAAGAATATTGAAATACAGGGAGATTTCTGTATTACTATTACATTGTGATGATATCTCTGTGTTGTCTCTAAGTGTATTGAGATGGTAATGAAAAAGATGTAAGAGGCAATTAGAAATCCTTCATCACTTTCTGCATGGAGTGAAACAAAAGGTCCTTTATCCAATACTGCACGTGCGGAGTAGGAGAGAATTTGTACAGTACATAACTCAAAATATTTGATTTTTTCTTTTTTCTAATTCTATTAAAAAGCTCCATAGGGGGAACAAACGAAAAAACGCCATGCAACAACGTAATAATGATTGTGGTATCGTTATTAAACAAAGTATATTTATGTTCTGTTTCTATTTTCAGAATTATTTTGCACGAAACTTTTACAACATGAGGATGTTGGCGTTGTTTGTTGCTTTTGCCATCAACTTCATCCTGCTTTTCTATAAGGTAAACTTGTCCAAATACTACTTTTCAAGTTGTACACTGAAAAACATTCAGGTTTTGTAGACAGTATACTATGGTAAAACTGCTTAGCCTAACAGATTAAATACCTGCTTCACACTGCCACTTCAGAAATCTAACATGGTGAGAGCTGAAGTGTTTGTGTGAAGTAATAATAGACCTCCAGTACACAAACAGCTATTTACAAAGTTCTGTGCTGCAACAGAGGCAGCAGACTGTAAGGTGTACCCATGCCTCAGATGCTCCATTTCACAGGACCGTGACCTAGCCAAGCCCAGCCTTCACTGGCAACTTAAACAAATGCATGTCAGCTGAGATGTTTTCTTGTGCCGTTATGCTCCCCTGAGAGGGTGTGCACAGCAAGAAGTCACATCGTCTTAAGCTGCCTAAGACTGATTTCTTTGTCAAGACTTTTGGTATCATTAATAGAACTCTAGAGTCTTCAGACTTCAATCAGTTTCTGGCAGAGCACTGCTGATAAAGACTACATGTGGGAATGTCAGGAGTTGACTGGGTTTCTTCTAAGAGGGCTATGCCCCTTCTTGAATTTGAGCTGATAAAATTCAGCATGGCCCAAAATTGCTACCATGGACAGAGAGTGGGGAAAAAAAAAAAAAAAGAAAATGCACACTATCACAGATTGGTATAACAAGATGAAGGGGTCTCTGCAAGGTGTTCTCTGTGGATATTTTTATGCAAAAAATCTGTTCATCAGAATTATATTGTGCTAGGTATCATTGTTTTCAGTTATACTACGTAGGTTATCGTAGCGTACAAGCTCCTGTCAAAGGAATACAGCTGCAATGTTAAAATTAAGTGATTTAAACAGGTCTCCACCTCTGCTGTGACAGAAGAAAAGGAAGTTCCTGTGGTATCTGCTGGTGAAAGTACCAAGTTGAACAGCCTGGAAAGTGACAACCAGAGGGTCATTGCAGTGCATTATGTCCTGGAAGAAAGCAGTGGCTACATGGAGCCCACGCTGCGGATTTTGGCCATCCTACACACAGTCATCTCATTCTTCTGCATCATAGGGTATTACTGTTTGAAAGTAAGAAAAATTGAACATTGTTTGTTCTTCTAGCTCCCAACTTTTTCACCCACTGAGTGGTATAAATTGGAACAAAGTCACAGCAACTTTGCTTAAGCAGGTTGAGGGACTATGTGAAAACACTGTTCTGTGTCACCCACACAGAAATTGTGTGTGAGGTTATGTGTGAATTCAGGAAGTTACAGGCCAGAGCCTGATTTGCTGGGCTGGCACTGGATCATAGAATCAGCATTTGCACTGTTACCGTGTCAGCTAGACAATTACAGCAGTAACCTGTATCAGAAGCTGCTTGTGATTGTCAAAGACAAGCTGTGAACACACATGTCCAGAAGAAGCTAGATGACGCTGTCTGCGTTACGAGTCTGTTAACTGGGTCATTTGAGAAGCATGCAGCAGTTTGGACTACCAGTACTTCATGTTGTTCCTATATACAATGCCTACTTTTCATACACACTCTGGTGGTAGTGTTTTGGCAGGAACTTAAGCATCTTTTAAGGAATAACGTGCAGAAGATCTCTGTTAGGGATGTAAGAAATAAAGATGCCACATTTATTGGCAAAATGCTGCTTCTGATTTACGAAGACCAAATGCCATAAACTGCTGGAGCTGAGAGGAGTGTATCTGGGATGTACTTCCCCGATTTTTACACTCTT